TTTTTTGTTTATTTCCTAGTCGATTTATCATTAGAATTTTTGACTTGTTGTTTAGAATAAGTTCTTTGATTAGGAATTCACTTAATTAGTTAATTAATTTCAGGTTGGGATGTGGGTATTTCACGGTATAAATAGGCGGGTCTCTTAGGCAGCTTATTATGCAGGTGGTGGTCACAAGGTTTTTTACCAGCCTATAGAATCAGTCACATCAGACTCTAGTCGTCAGTCAGAGAACAGGAATAGGAGCAGAAGCAGAATCCTTCACAAAGGACAGAACGTCCTTTGTGACCAAAACACAAAGGACGTTTTGATCCTTTGTGCTGTGTAAACCAGAATCCACGGTGCATCAGGTGACTATTTCAGTTGGATTCACTTTTGTTTTGGTCACCTTTGAGTTTTGAGTTTTTTGAATTTAAGTTTTGGGACAAATAGTCACTACAGTCCCAATGTAATGTCAGTTCTTCAACAGTAATAAAATAGTCTTACTGTGTGATCTGCAAATTTATGAAAGGTATCAATATGTTGCCTTGGCACAAAGTCATTACAGCTACTTAATATGAGTCACTAAGCCAAATCCTGGAGCAGTTTGAGGCAGCTTCAGAGGAATACTGGTAACCTCTCAGCGAAGGGAGTAACAAGGCAGAGGATTGGATGAGCTGAAGGTCAGTGGGCGGGGCCACTTCAACTCGACCAATCAGAGAGTTTTCTGCTTCCTCAGCAGCTCTGTCTCTGATCTTTACTGCTTCATGTCTCTGTTGTCTTCAGTCCAAAGACTCAACAACCAGAGGATTAACAGGGAGTGAGGCCCTCTAGTGGCTGCTGTGGAGTACTGCAGGTTTTAGTGGTTTAACAGGGAGTGAGGCCCTCTAGTGGCTGCTGTGGAGTACTGCAGGTTTTAGTGGTTTAACAGGGAGTGAGGCCCTCTAGTGGCTGCTGTGGAGTACTGCAGGTTTTAGTGGTTTAACAGGGAGTGAGGCCCTCTAGTGGCTGCTGTGGAGTACTGCAGGTTTTTGTACAGGGTTCTGGTGTTTCCTGTCACTGTGGGCCTCACAGCGCAGTAGTACACAGCAGAGTCTGTCACTGCAGCAGAGGAGATCAGCAGATCCATCCGGGTTTTATTGACTTCAATCTTCAGTTCTGGGATTTTATTCATGACTATGTTTCCAGTTCCTGAGTGGGAGAGCAGGAACTCTGGAGGTTCTGCTGCGTTCTGTCGGTACCAGAAGAAGAAATCACTTGGCCTCAGGTTGGGATAGTTAAAGGACAGGGAGACGGAGCCGTCCTCCAAGGATGTCTTGACTGTTTCATCCGCAGTCGGTCCTTCACAGCCGACTCCTGGGGGAGCACAGAGCAGCCTGAAGCTCCACTCGGGAGAATTTCTCACATTTCATCACAAAACATTTTAATCTGACCTGTTAGCAGAGAGGCGATGAGCAGAGACAGACCATAATAGTCCATGTTGAGCAGAGTTAATGTTGGAGAGTTGAACTGAACTGAAGGAGGAAGTTTGAGTCTCTTGGAGATCAGGAAGAGATCAGCTCCTCCTCCTCTTCCTCATCCTCTTCCTCACAGCTTCAGCTGCTTTCTTCATGTTTTATTCTTCATCTCAGCGGATTCAGGAAGGAAAATATTCCTCATGTCCAAAGGAAGAACCTGATGATGTAGAACCAAAGATTTAGTTCCTGAGCTAGCCATGCTAACGGTAGCTAACTGCTAACAACAACCTAAGAGTTTCTAATAGTGATTGGTCGGCAACACCGATGCATCAGTGCATGCATAGAGCGAAGCCCCATATCAGTGCAGTATTGCTATCAGAAAGTCACATGACCGATACAGGAAGTGTTTCGAACTGAAGAAGAGCATCTGGAGGTACCTGCCAAAAGAATCTGATTCCAAAAACCAACAAATGACAATATTCTTAGGTTTCGATACATTTTGGCAACATCTTGACATCAAAGTGTGCAGGCAGACCAAAAGGGCCAGAGCTGCTGTCCTCCAGGAGGTGCAGAGGGGAGCATGCTCAGTCTGTCCGACCCGCTGCTGCCTTTCCTTACATTTCTTTGCACTCCAGCCTTATCTGCGCCCTGTAAGCAGGTGTTTTCTATATCAAAAAGTGTAAAAGACTCAAATTCAAAACAAAAAATTCTTTTGATTAAAAAATTAAAGAAAAAAATCCCAGTCCACCTGCATCCTCAGTCACAACACGTTAACTTAGATTTTCACATTGTGATATATGTTCACATTACTTATTGACTATCTAAAGATAAAGATATTTTGAACGGAAAATATAAGAAATAATACAATATAAAATACAATAATTTAAATTGTGTTAAACTTGGTCATCAAATAAGTGTCAGTATTCAGTGACGGTATCAATGCAGCTTGGCAATGTGTCGAAACGCTTCATTAACTTTATAATGAACTGAATGAAAACACGGACCCAGAAATGCATATTTGATTAAATATGTTTAATACAAAAGTATTACATTTGTCACCTTACCAGAGTTTGTTCCTAAGAAATAACGGAAATCAAACAGTGTGACGTGTTTAAAACGCCACTCCAAGCATCACGTCACTTCCTGTGATTAGCTTAGCCTAGCTAGTAGCCGTTAGCAACAGCTAGCCGCGCTGAGTCCGCAGCTGTTTGACGGTGGTTCTGTTGGATCTGAGCCGAACCTTTCAGCAGCAATGTGTTCCGTTCAGCCTCTGAGAGAGTTCATCAGGGAAAGACTCGCTGCTGCCGCGGAGGAGATCTTCTCAGAGGTGGAGAACACCGTCAGGCTGCTGGAGAGCCGCTGGGGGACCGACACACACCGGGAACCAACAGGTCCGCAACACCACACACACCGGGAACCAACAGGTCCGCAACACCACACACACCGGGAACCAACAGGTCCGCAACACCTGCATGGCCCGGCGGCCAGCGGGACGAGAAGCTGCTGCTGGCCAACCTGCAGGCTGTCAGCGCCTCATCAGCCAATCAGAAGCGGCTCTGGGTCAGAACCGGAAGCTTTGCAGAACCTGCTGTTTGGACTCTGCTCTGTGTTTAATACATCACAAGTAAAATTAGAGCTGGGACATTTAACAAATTTATTTATTTTATGAATAAATTTGTTATAAATAAATGTCTTAGGTATTAAAATATTTATTTTATTTATAAAATGAGAGGTTTTACCTGTTTCAGCCACTGACCACCTTAACTTAAATAACTTGATGTATCGGGTCAGATTGAGGCAGAATTATTCTGCTTAATAACACAACAAATTATGGGATGGCTGGTATTTTTATAAGAGGGCTCCTCTGAAAGCAGGCTGTAATTAGTGCTTTTTAATCGTAAATGTAGTTTCTACATCTGGTCGTTGATCCAGAATATTTTAGTTTTTCTAGTTGGATCTGATCTGAAACCGCCAGTTCTTCACTTCCCGACCAAAACCAGGACCGGACTGTTGCTGAAACTGATTCTGGTCGGGTCCAGCAGGAGCAGACGTGGTGCTGACCGCTGGTCTCGGTTCTTCTGTCTGTCCAGAACTCCAGCAGCTGAAGGTTCCTGAGGACCCGGTTCTGATTGACCCTAAACTATGGAGCCAGGAGCGAAACCACAGACCCGACCCAGGTAAACCAGAACCGGGCCGGGATGAGGAACCACAGATCGGAGAGATATTCTGCGGTTCTGGAATCAACTCGGTCCAGTTTGGAGGAGAACAGGATCATCAGCACCAGCTGCCGGACACGAAACCTTGGAGAACAGGAGAGACCTGGTGCTGCCCGGCTAACGGTACCTCTCCTGACCTGACCCGACCCAACGTGGTTCTGGCTTTCAGAGGAAAGTGGGTCCAGCAGAACCGGACCTCATGATAATTCTCCTCATATTCAGGAGAATCAAACGCTGGATCAGCAGCAGATCAACAGAACCTAACCGGGTCGGGTTCTGGTTCCGCTCTGATAGACCAGGCCACTGGATACCAAACGTTTGGTTTCTGAGAACTGGAGCTTTATTGATCTATTATTGATTAAAAGTTAAAAAAAATAACTCGGAGACATAACTGATCTCACCGATCACATTTTCTCCTGGAAGACGATGGGCCCCATATGGGGCCCATATGGGGCCCAGTTAAGCTTTTGTCTTTCTTGTTATACCAGTTACATACCAGAGGTAAAACTGAATAGTAGTAATAGTCGTCCCCTTGGCGTCGGGACGTCGTCTCCTTGGCGTCGGGACGTCGTCTCCTTGGCGTCGGGACGTCGTCCCCTTGGCGTCGGGACGTCGTCTCCTTGGCGTCGGGACGTCGTCCCCTTGGCGTCGGGACGTCGTCCAGCGGGACTTTCTAAGAAATGAGAAGCTGATTCCTGTATTAGCTCACGTTAAATCCAGGCCGCCGCTCACTTTTGGTCAGGCAGCAAATTTAGCAGCACCAGGAGGTCCGAGCAGAAGTCAAGGCTTAAGGAGCTCAGATCATTACAGAGAAGTAGGCCGGTCTGGTCCAGTCCGGTCCGGTCCAAAGCAGAGACAAAATAAACTGTAGCTCTCTGGGTCTGGACAGCAGAACCATCTGCAGTTCTGATCATGTCTTCTCTTGTTCCCACAGAACTTCCACAGCAACAAGATTCTGATCGGGTTCTGATGGGCCAGCAGCTCCAGAACCACGGCAGGACATGGAGTCTGGACCAGGAGGAACCAGAACTTTCACTGAAGCAAGAGTACCAGGAGGATCTGTGTGTCTGTCAGGAGGAAGAGCAGTCGGACCCGGAGACGTTCATGGCGGTTCTGACTGATGAAGAAAGTGATCAGACTGAACCAGAACCAGAACCAAACTCTGGGTCAGAACCTCTTCAAGGATCTAAAGTCAAGTCCAATAAGAAGAGAAGAAAATATGCAGAAAGTTCTTCTGGGTCGGAGAGTCTGGATGATGGTGGTGGAGCAGCAGCCCAGGTGACTTATTGGACAGCGTCCCCAGCCGAGGACGTTGTCTCTCCAAGTCCAGAGGGAGGACGACCTTCGACCTCATCGGCCCCGCTGCTGCGCGGCACTGACAGCGGACCCTGTGAAACGCCGTCCGCTCGCCGGTCAGCAGCCAACTGGGCCCGGCGGACTCCAGCAGCAGACAGTCTGTATTCCTGCAACACCTGCGGGAAACGCTTCCGGTTCAACTGCCGCTACTTGTCCCACATGAGGACCCATACGGGGGAGAAACCGTTCTCCTGCAGGCAATGTGGGAAAAGTTTCACTCAGGGAGGAAGTTTGTGGCGACACGTCAGAACGCATTCCGGAGAGAAACCGTTCATCTGCAGAACATGTGGGCGGAGCTTCAGCCAGAAGACCGGTCTGCTGGGCCACATCAGGACTCAGCACAGAGGGGTGGAGCCAAGCTCTGGCTGAACGTGTGGGCGGAGCCTCAGCATTATGGGCGGGGCCTCAGAGAGAAGAACAAAGTGGCAACTAAACAGGTTTAGTAATCAAAATTATGATGAATGGACAAAAACACTTGACCTGGTCTGGTCCCCTGGCCCAGGTCAAGTGTCAGGTTCTGGGGTTCTGACCCGTCTTTAGAGGTTCTGACTAGGGCTGCAGATGGAGGTTTTCTGGCCGATCACCAGTCCTTAAAAAGCCTGACCTGCTGATTCTGATTTTGGCCGATACCAATTTTTTTGACTGGAATGTTGCTTAATATAGCAAGAAAGTCACTGAGTTGGTAAAAATGTGGTGACTTGTTAACTGCCAACTTGCAGACCGGACCTGGTGGGTGGTCTGTCAGTCAGATCTCTCAGGAGAGAGCAGAAGAGGGCAGTGGTTGATTTTTAGGCTGTTCTTGATAAGATCGGAGGATAAGATCAGCTTCACATGTGGGACAATCACCATCTCCCAAAATTCAAACAACTGGTGCCGATAAATCCATTGGCCCCTGGTTCTGACCCGTCTTCTTACATATTCTTTTAAATAAAGTTTGTTTTCTCCATCAATGTTTCTGTCCAGTCTTTTTAAAACTGTTTTATTTTTAAGTCCCAGCCAATCAGGTGCCACCGTGGTTGTATCAGAGCAGTCCAGGTCAATCCCAGAACAGAACCTTGCAGTCAGATCAGAAAAACAGCTGAAGTCTCAATGAATCTGGGAATAAAGCAACTGACGTTCTGGGCTGAGTCCTAACTGTGCAGGAGGAGCAGGAAGTGAGGTCCTCTAGTGGCCGATGTGGAGTACTGCAGGTTTTAGTGCAGAGATCTGGAGCCTCATACATAAAGCTGCGTGCGCACAAAAAATGTGCGGTCCCATATTTTTGCACAAGTCGGCATGTATAAAAATTTACTTTGTGTCAAAGTGTGTGTAAATATATGTACATGTTTTCACTGGCATGAAAATGTGCAGCAGCCACACAAACTTTTTCTGTGAACAATAATAAACCACAAACGTCAAAACTCACATAAATACACTGAAGTCTGACCACATTCAGTTATTTAGACCAAGAAGCACCAAACTGATGTTTTTCATGATTTTAATATTTTATTGCTTACACGTGAATGATGAAACTCAAGGTGCTTTATATGAGTTAAAAGGAAATACAAACAAAATGACAAACCAAAGGAAAGAAAACTAACCTAACGTTCTAAAGCATGTAAACTAGGTGCTCCTGTTCAGGGTTACTAAGTATCTAATTCCATTTCTAAATAATGAAACTCTACAGTTTCTGATAACATAAGCTAAGGAGTTACTGATCTAAATCCTTTTCTGAACCGCATTTATCCTCAGACACCAGAGGATAAATGCTAACTCACACAAAGCTAACATGCACAGAAAATAAAGAAAATAAAAATAAAAGGATGTGAAAACCTCACTAGAATGTAAACAACACTTTTCCTCAGTTTTTGTCTCATAAAGATGTAACGCATCGGTCTACGAAGCGCATGAAATGCATCTATGGGGTCATTTAATTCCCACTAAAGAAGAAAACAGGGTAGATTATTCAAGGTGATCCAGGTGTGGAGACAATCCCATATATCAGTAGCTGCATCAAGGTGAGCCGTAAATGTGGAGCTTTGGCTCTGATGGAGAACAAAGGAAGGATTCAGAGGGAGGATTGATCAGAGATCATATTGATCTGATGGTTTATTAGTGTTTAGATTCATCCAGACTGATCATCCTGGATCTGAGCAGAACTTAAAGAAGGAGCCGAGCGGTACCGGTACCGGTCCAGCTGCAGCCATCCTTCAGTAAAGCTTTGTGAAAGCGCCTTATGGACATAAAGCAACTTTATTCTGTAAATGTACAACTTATATACATGATTCTACTATTTAATAAACGTCCACATTCCACTCAGAGACCCTCTGACTCTCTGTCTGTCTTTAAATCCCGGCTGAACGTTTTGCTGCTGTTCACACAGGCATTTACAGGATCTCTTTATGTTTTAAATTTGGATTTTATTTTTCTTTAAAATGTATTCTTTTTATTTTTGTGAGGTGACATTATGTGCCCTCAAAGCACCTTTTAAATAAAATATATAATTATTATTATAAATACTCATACTGCTACAAACAAGGACGTTGCCATGGTTACTGCTTCACGTGGTGACAGACTTCCGGGTATTTATACTAATTTACATTAATGTGTATTTATGGAGGCGACAGGCGACCAGCAGCTGCTCTACTGACCGTAAATTAGGATTTATAAAGGAAAGATGCGCACAGCTTTATGCATCCCATGTTTTTTGTGCGCCACACTTTTCTAAATTTTTCCATACGCTAAGTTTTAGTGTGAAAACTGTTCAGTCATTTTTGCATGAGGCTCCTGGTGTTTCCTGTCACTGTGGGCTGCAGAGCGCAGTAGTACACAGCAGAGTCTGACGGACGGAGATCCTGGATCTTCAGGTTAAACGCTGAGTTGTTGACCTTCGCATCAAATCTGTCTTTGCTGAACTCTGGAGCATTATCTGTTATTTGATAATATTCTTTCAGCATGTACTTTGGGAAACTGTTTTCTTCTTGTTTATACCAGAGTAACATAGGAGTTGTATCACTAGTCTGATAAGTACATCCCAGAGTCACTGAGCTTCCTGCAGCAGCAACAACTTCTCTTTCTGTCTGCGTCACTGAGTCTCCTTTA